TCAAGGCAAATTAATAAAATTGCATTTATCTCATCAAGGAGGCTGAAATCGACAAAATATCAATAGACAACTTTTAATCGGCATTAAACTGCTTACACTATTTCGCCAACAAGAGAAAAACAAGTCAGTGACGTACATGCTTTTTTTAGACAAATATTCCAGTGATATATGCACGTCCCTGGTGTATATGGCGACACTTTTTTCGCCTTAAAATATGTCCCATTTATTTATAGTAACTTTTACCCTCAAAATTTCATTCGAATCACTAAAACTACTTGGAAGAAAATTATAATAAATCGAAAGATTATTAAGATTTTAACACCCTGTAGCTGCGAAAGAAGGAACAATCGGACCTATGTTGATATGAAAAATAAATCTTATTTTTGCGTGAGGAATTTCCCCACGAGAGATGGCACATGTGTTTTGAAACATCCTGTATATGTAGCAAAATATCAGATTCGTATGTTGCTAGGTCGGCAAACAAGAAAATGTGTGCAATTCTGGAAAAACGGACAAGTAAATGTTTGAGACTTGCTCCATCATTCTGTCTATCTATACTCACCTATACCCTACACCTATACCCACTGACCGGCACAATACAAAATTAAAGGAAAGAACCTTTATTACTTGATTGATTTGTCCATCGACCACGAAGAAACAAACTTACCGAGGAAAGGGCCGGAAAACTTACTTATATTGCCCATAATTATAATTTACTAAATAGGGAAGAATATCCAAGAATGGTAGAGGCTGCTAAGAAAGAAATGGAAGAAGAAGATATCGATTTCCAAGAATAGACTTGACTCAGTTAACAAAAGACAAATGGCATAAGAATATGACAAGATTAAGGATGATTTACCATTATGTACATAGGCCACTCTGACTATGACTAGTTTAAAAAACGTTCTTGTATTTTTTTGTAATGTTATTACAGTTTTGATATAAAAAAAATAGTATTATTTAAGAAGCTGTTTTTTTTATAAATTACCAATGTTGCCATCTTCTTTTTCCCTAAATGTTCCAAATATGTTTTCTTAACTATAATTCTACAAACTAATAATGACATTAAAACAACCGACATTAAAACATATTCGTTAATAAGTATTTGTTAAATATAAAAAGCAAACAACTAAAATGAATTGATTTTTTGCGAGGATAAATACTTCGAAAAATTGGGCATGTTATTAAAATGCAATTACAATTAATCTAGTTGGCATAAACACACCTTGTTGCAAACGGTAAAAGATCTAACCTTGATGAAAAAAACTTTAAACGATTTCAGTCGATAAATCATTCGAGTTGCAATAAACAAACCGCTTATTTATCTGGTCGAGATTTGAATACCGCTGTGAAAAAAAACTGTACTTAAAAAACGATATAAAAATAAATATGATTTGTTCAATTAATATTTGAATCATAATACCAATAGATGCTTTCAATTAAACTTTCTGGTTTAATTTAAATGATCTAGAGCAGTGATGGCAAACCTATGACACGCGAGCTCATTTTTGGTGACACGCATCTTCAAAAATAAACATTTTTATAATTCAAAAATGTTTCTCTCATATCGACTAGAGGTGGTTATTAATAATAATATTATTACTTAAGTTAATAAAATAATTAGTAATTTAATTCTGAACTCAGACGTCCGAGACATTCTCTGCGTGAGAGAAATATCTTTGGTATGTTTGAATCTTATGATACCAGTAATCAGTGCAACAACAATGCAGAAAGTTCATACACATCTTCAGAGAAGGCAAAGCCAGATTTGTTGTACATAGGTTATTCCAGGGTCAAATGACGCCTAAGCCCGTATAGTGCTGAATACCAGAAACTAATCAAATATCTAAAAACAGAAAAGGTATTGGTAATTAGTGATGTTGGTAGCGAATATTTCCATTCGAAGTTTGCAGGAAATTTCAGAAATTTCCGAAATATTCGATCCCAAAATCGCGAATATTCGCAAAAATCCGAATTTTGCAAGAAATTTCTTTTCGAAATTGAGCAAAAATTTAACGAAACATTTTTACAGATGTAACAAATTATTGCGCCAAATCGGGTTTATGGGCTCTCGACTACGTTTAGATGTCAGTTAAAAATGTAGACTGTCTAAGTTGGTGGCAAGCAATGTGTAAAAATACTCAGTTGAAATATTTAGCTGTTGCTCTGCTGTCTTTACCAACGTCATCTGCAGCCACTGAGAGGAGTTTCAGTACTTACAGTTTTATCCATACTAAAAAAAGGAATCGCTTAACTGCACAAAGAGTCGGCAAAATAATGTTCGCAGCTCATAACAATAAATTATTACTACAAAAACAAAAAGTGATTATGGAGCATGATATTCAACAACATGAAACTCCTCCAGAACCACTAGAACCCGTAGAGTTAGAGGTCCATCCTTCAGAATCAGAACCAGATAATATATCAAATATATCTGATTTAAAAATAGAAACTGACGAAGACAGTACTACTACTACTATAATACCCTATGAAGATGGGACCAGCTCGGGGCCTGAAAGTATTCCGGAATAGAATAATTCAGTTATTTGTGTTTTACGTTTTTTAAATTTATATTTCGTGCTTTTTTGTTTATTTTTAAGTTCATAGTCATAGTTCATAGTTTATGTACAGGGTGGGTCAAATTCGACGCTTTTAAATGGAAACACTCTTTTCTATAGGAGATAGACACAAAACTTAATATCGGTGTCTGGAGCTCAATTTTTGTCAAAAACATGATGGTGAAAACCGCATATCGATATCTGTTACCGTTTCGGAGTTACAGGGTATTTTTCAAAAATATGCATTTTTAACAAATCGCTGTAACTCTTTTGCTATGGAAAATTTTATATTTTTATGAAACCATTTCCAAAGCACCTTTTTACGTAGAATTTAATGGTTTAAGAATATTTTTTTTAAAATTAATAATTTAAGAATTATCAACAGAAAATTTGATTTTTTATATGGGAATTTAAAATTACCTTTCCAAAAATATAACACACTTGATATTTTACACGATTCCTCTTCGAGATATAGAGTATATAGAAATTCGCCCGCTTTAAATAAGTAGGCTTTGAACGGCATCGGCTGTAATGCAAAAAAATTCTAGCTGTGAGCATCAATTAAAACGAAAATAATATTTTGCTATGAGAGATGCAGAATTTTATACAATTAAAAACTAATTAATTAAAAAATTAACAATTTAAAATATATTTAACCAACATCAACACATTTAAACTATATCTAATAACAATAAAAATAAATAGCAAACCAAGACATGAGATTTTGCTACAGGTGTTCGACATATCAACCGTCTTCTGTTATGGACAGACGGGGCAGTTTTTGAACATTTCTCGCGGGATTCATTAGCTCAGTGGGGGTGAAAAATACCCTCTCATAACTGCTAAGTATTTCTAATTATTTTCTCGACTATACGGAAGAATAAGGAACCTTTATTGTTCCGCAAATATATCCATAGGATTAGATCCATGGGCACTAAGTCAGGCGGCCTCGACCCCCATCTTGGTTAGCTATTCAATTATTCTTGAAATTGGCTGCAAAAATTTGCTGATAACTTCAGCGATCAGAGGTCGTGCATCGTCTTGCTGGAAAAATATGTTTAGAGTTCCATTAAGGGCATATCATCAATTAGGGGTCCAAAGCCTACTAGTTAAAAGTGGCGAACTTCTAAAAATTCTGTATTTCGAAGGGGATTATAACAAAATATCAAGTGTGCTATATTTTTGGAAAGGTAATTTTAAATTCTTTTCAGTTAATTAAAAATATAGAGGGTGTCCCAAATAAAAAATCAATTTTTCTGTTGATAACTCTTAAATTATTAATTTTAAAAAAATTCTACTTAAACCATTAAATTCTATGTTAAAAGGTGCTTTGGAAATGTTTTCATAGAAATACAAAATTTTCCATAGTAAAAAAGTTACAGCGATTTGTTAAAAATGCACATTTTTGAAAAACACCCCGTAACTTCGAAACGGTAACAGATATTGATAAGCGGTTTTCACCATCATGTTTTTGTTGACAATTGAGCTCCAGACACCGATATTAGTTTTCGTCTATTTCCAATAGAAAAGGGTGTTTCCATTTAAAAGCGTCGAATTTGACCCACCCTGTACAAAGTACAAATGTTACCGAATGATTTTTGTTATGTGTTATGTTTATGACTTTTATGAGTTATGTATTGTTTATTAAAAATATAACAACTAATAATATCTAATATTATGTTTATTGTTTTTTTTTCACTAACATGTTGGTATCAGTATCAACAAAAAATATGTAAAATTGTAAAATTTCCCAAAATTTCATAAATTTCCGAAAGCTTCCGAAAATTTCGGAAACTTCCTGCAACAATAAAAAATTTCTGAAATATTAACATTACTATTGGTAATACTGCTGAATGAAACAGCTACAAGGCACAGCGGTAGTATACATGTATACCAGATTAAGTTAGCTTGAATGCGTACACCATTTATCTAGTTTTCCCTACCTGGTGTAATTATATTAAATTTGTTGTTACGGCTGTACCTTGTAGCGTGTAGCTGTTTCATTCAGCAGTATTCCCAATGCAGATGGGCCTAGAATGTCGGAAGGTGTAGGAGCTGAAACAAGGAATAGTTTTACTATACTAGAAATAGTTTTCAAAAAGGATCATTTTCCAGGTGGAAATAATGGCAATCCATTACTGCAGTTCGCAAGAAAGAACACACCATTCAGTTGCCATCTTCACAGATAGCCAAGCAGCGTTAAACGCCTTCGGTTCCACGAAGATCAATTCTAAGCCAGTGTGGGGTTTTACCGAATTTAGACAAAAATACAAACCATGCTGGGGCATCAGCTCTTTGATCTTTAAATTACAAAATTATTAGTAATTATAGTATATTCAGTTCGAGTACTGATTAGATCAATATCTAATATTGACTTGAAAACAAGCAAATATTAATTTTAGGAATTATCCTGTAGATTATAATTGAATAAAAACGACTCACCTGAACCATATCCAAAATTCTTCGACATTTTCTCCTAACATGCCCGAACGGACAAGCGAAACACAACCTCAGAATAATAGGCAACTGCAACGCCACCAAATCAAAATATTGCACGGTAGTTCTGCCACCCTTGATAGTGCTCTTGGACACAGTCTCGTCGCCAGTGTTACAACGAGGCCTCTTCTCGAAAGTCACAGAGCTAGACATCGAATGCCCATCACCATTTGACCTTTTACAATCCGACTTCTTCACCTGCGACTTTGTCTCACTCTCAACAACCTCAGATTCATCCTTTTTCGTTTCGGTAACATGACAGGTGTCGTACCTGTCCGAAATGTCATCTTTACAGTCGCATTTCTGATCACTAACGAAATTATTTGGGTCCAGCCAGCTCTCTACAAGTTTGGACACGACATCGAGAGCTAGCTCTTGGATTTCGGTGTCTTGGGTCGAGTAAATTCGATCTAGGTCGAGCATAAGTTCGTCGGAAACCGCCGGTAGTTTTATGGGATCAGATTCGTTATCGTCCTCCAATGGTAGTGAGGAGGTACTGTCAGGATTGGCGGCTGATCTTTTCTGAGACGCGGTGACGTTGGTCTGGACAAACATGGTTTGGTCTTTTTTACGTATATACTTGTTTATTTTTTGTACTTGGTGTTAGTCTAAGTCTTTGGTGATTGTTAATACTTTTTCATCTAATACTGAATGTTCGTTTTTAACTGGTTAATTGATGCTTGAGTTCAGTGTTGTTTGAATCTGAAATAAAAACAGTACGAATATACAGTATCTGCAGAATTGGGTCAAATAAAATTTACAATATCATGTTAATATCATTTTATACAAGGTGCGTCTCAAAAGTGGCTCACCCCAAGAACTTTAGTATATGACATAAATTAGGATTGATTTGGACGCATTTTAAATGGTACCCTCGGCATTTTTTTTACTTTATTCGGATGCTCTGAATGACGCTCTGAATAGAATGTCATATCATATGTCAACTTTTGACATTTTCGCTTAAAAAATCGAATTTTAAATTTCAATCTCGAGTGCCATTGGTTGTGTTGAAAACAGTAATTTTTAATCAAGGAGCCTTGGAAAAATAGATTTGACCGTCTATTGTTTTTAGTGCCTTGTCCTGGCAGTTGAAAAGATGCGTAAATCGTATTTTTAATCATATCTCAATTTTTTCAAATGGAATGAGAGTGGCTCATTAGCATATTTAGAAAAATCTTTTTTTACGAATAATTTGGTACCACACACTTGATATTTCGAGTCAAATTGTAGTTATGAACCGCATGTTACAATTTCAAACGAACCATATCCAAAAATGTCAAAAGTTGACATATGATATGTCATTCTATTCAGAGTGTCATTTTCTATCGAATGAAGTAAAAATAGTATATTAAACAACGAGTTTCGAAAACGACGTTTTGCACACGAGTTCGACACTTTGTTGGTTCGAGCCGGAGGCAAGAACCACAAGTCGAACGAGTGTACCAAGAAGTTTTCGAACGAGTTTTTACGCCATTTTTTCTACGACTACAAATTAGCAACAGACTCACTCAGTTTTTGCCAGTTTTGTGAAATAATTTGCGATGTAATGATGACACTTTTCTGACGGCGTTTCAGCTAAACATTGGAAGTTAAAAATGTTAAAATTGGCACATGTCATGTGCAAAATGACACATGTCGTGCGCTAAATCCTTAGCACACAACCGTTTGCAAAACGCCAATTGTTGTAGGTAGTCATTTCCTGTGAAACAAAAAGTGGCCGAAAACAACTGAATGCGCCAATTAATCTTAATTTAGGTCATATACTAACATACCAAATTTCGTTTTATCTAAAAAAATAAAAAAAATATAGGGGTGAGCCACTTTTGAGACGCACCCGGTATACCGAGGCAAAAAGACTTTTTTTTCATAAATCTCAGTGAAATAAGTAAACCTAGACGTTTCTAAAATATCTGTCGTTACAATGATATTTCGTTAATTACATCTCAAATCATATCAAAAGTATGGTCTACAGACGATGTTAAAAAACAATGTTCTCTTATTGTAAGAGAAAACTGTAAAAGATACTTTTGTTAGCACACAACATGGTTTGATATAAATCCATTCAAAAATAATTAGAAGATTTTTAAATAGTTCAACACCGTGGATTATCTACATATATAAAATGCTAATGTTTATCTGTGTCGTCTCTACTGAAGTAACGACTTGCTCTAGAAAGTTGCTTATTTTACTAAAAAATAGCTAATTGGCTCTTCTAAAAACTGTCGTCGCCGGATTTTTTGTTTTTCATTTAATTAAACGAAAAAAATAAAAAGTATTTTTTTTCTTGATGTCGATGTCGTGGCGGATGCGCCAGGCTTCAACTAGTAACCTATAAAAGGCGTTGCCCTGCAGTTTTACGTTTTGGAAAGTTTTGGAAATATAATTTTCTTCTATATAGTAATTAATAATATTAGACAATCATTAAAACTAAATATTCTTGTGCAACCTTAGAGAAATAGCAAATTTAATCTACCATCGGTAACTGTTTTCTAAATTCACTATTTTTAATTATTCATATCAGTTTAATATAGTGGTATTACATTAAACTCCATTACAAACTAATGATATTTATTCATACTCCATGTTTACTTATTTTTCTGAAGCCACCACAAAGTTTGACCAAATATTTCTAGAAATATTTCGTGAAACATTTCGGGCATAGCGTTCAGATAATTCAAAAATAATTCATTCTGCCTGATTTCATAAGCATGCTCATGCTATATTATAAAATAACAAAAAAAATAATAAAAAAATATATACTACACCAACGAAGAAACTTACAAGCTCACTGCCTTTATCAATTTTTCATAGCCAGTAAAACTCTCTCTAAACTTTAACAATTTAAAACTTCGATTTGGCGGCTGTATTTCGTCTCCACCTCATCGAAGTTAGTCCATTCTATGCTCATTTGCATACAATGTTTATAAACTTTATAATTTTATGCCGCCAGCCTATTATTACATTATTTTCTATACTTTACATTATTAGTTCTTCGTTTTAACAGCTTTAACTTGTTTACATCCATGCATAAATAATGTACCATTTATTTTATTTTTTGGTCTTATTTTTTTCCTCGTTTTTTTCATAATTAGTCTAGTCTAGGCTTTAACTCTTTATGACCTGTATGGTTAACCCTTGGGGTTTACCAAATGTTAAATTTAACATTTAAGGTTATCTAATTAATATAATGGCAAGGTGTATTACTGGTTGCATAACTGCATACTGCTAAAATCGCAAAGTGCATTGAGGAACCTGGCGCATTCGCCAGAAAGTAAAGAAAATTATAGAATTCTTTAGAAAAATCTAGAAACAACCGCCAGGGGGTATATAAGGCCCGCGCTTTGACAGTTGGAAGTTTTGAAGTTTGAAGTCTAAGTCTGAAGTTTGAAAATACCGCGAAATACCGTTAGAGTAATAGTAGTTGCATAAGTTGTGTTGTAAATAGTATAAGTTGTGTGTACAGAGTGAAACAAATAAATTCGTTAAGTATTTTATCGTGAGTTTAAATAGTGGACCCACGGAATCCGTAACAATAATTTAATGCTATTTTATAGTCAATAATATAATATGTCATGAATATGTCAAATTTGTTGACATTGATTTGTGACATTGATAAGTATGTACGTTAGGGTGGTTCACGCTCTTCAAGAAAGGTCTCTTACAATTTTTCGATAAACCTCCTTCAAATTTGAATCATTCTAAGTATAAGTATCTAAAAAGTATACTTGGATCAGATGGCATATCGTGGATACATCGCCCAGAAGGGAAAAGATTTGATCCAAAGTATACAAAGGCCACTGTAAAGCATGGTGATAGATCTTGCATGGTGTGGGGGAACAATGGATCGATTTATGTATTTGGACATCTTAAAGAAAGTGATGAATCCGTTTGCTGATGATTTGCACGATAATGATCCAAAAGCATAAATCGGAAGTCTTACAAGAATGCTTTTTGTCTGAACAAATTAGGGTTATGGACTTTCCTGCCCAGAGTCCAGACCGTAACCCCATTGAAAACCTGTGGGAGGAACTAGATCGTGTAAGACGAAGTCTTGGTGAGACAATTCCGTTTGCGGAGGAGGTTAAATATCTAGGATTAAACCTGGACAAAAAACTTAGCTGGACCTCTCATCTGGAAAAAAACATCAAAAAAGGCTTGCTATGCTCTATGGGCATGCCGCCGAATTTGTGGTAGAAACTGGGGATTAAACCCCAAAAATATGTACTGGCTATACGTGACAGCCATCAGACCTATTATCACGTATGGTGCAGTTGCCTGGTGGCAGAAAGCCCACCAAACAACGGCAAAGAATAAATTGTCGAAACTACAACGACAAGCATGCTTAGCGGTGACTGGTGCCTTCCATTCCACGCCGTCAAAAGCTATGGAAAAGCAAAACCGGCTAGTAGATGAACTACAGTCGGATGAGATTCTGGGAATGGTTTCGAATCTCACACCACCAGTCCAACTCTTGACACGCACCTCCAACGTACACGGACGGATCCAAAAACGAAAAAGGATCTGGCGCAGGAATTTACTGCAGCAGTCCAAAGACTGAGATCTACCACAGTCTTGGAAAAAACATCACAACTTTCCAAGCTGAGCTATATGCTATTGAAACCTGTGTGCAACTGCTGGTAGAACAGCAATACACTGGGAAAACAATATGCATATTTTCGGATAGTCAAGCCGCGCTGAAAGCACTTGAGGCAACGAAAAGCACGTCTATGACGATTCTTCATTTTAAGAAACTACTCAATATATTAGGAGATAAGAACAAAGTGTCGCTAATATGGATACCGGGACATGTCGGCCTAGAGGAAAATGAACGTGCTGATTCCCTCGCCAAAATTGGTGCTGGCTCGCCATTCTTGGGCCCAGAACCGACACTTAGCGTTCCAAAAAATCTCGCAAGAGACAGGCTCTGTGAATGGGTTAGGGGTGCGACGTTCCGGGACTGGAATAACAATCCCGGAATGGAACATGCCAAGAAAATCCTAGCAGGGCCATCCAAACATAGAACAGGAGAACTCCTTAAGGCTGGTAGGAATGGAGCGCGTACACTCACTGCAGTGTACACGGGCGACTGCCGGCTAAGATCACACCTACAGAGGATGGGACTGGTGGAAGACGCCGAATGCCGACTCTGTATGGAAGATGACGAAACAATGAAGCACGTTATGTGAACCTTCCCCGGGACCAGGTTTGAGATGTTTGGCAAACCCATGCTAGACCTATCAGACCTAGAAGACATATCACCCTCGGACATAATGGCATATGTTAAAAGGCTGGGTTTTGAGGGTGTACTTTAACGCTCTTTACATATTAGAGCTTGTAGAAACTGAGCCACAATAGGCCCTCGCAGCTGCAGTGGAGGGTCCCATGGGACCCCCCTCTTAGTCAAAACAATACAAGACGAAGTCACAGCAATAAAAAAGATTTGATAAGAATTTTGAAAGAGGCCTGGAATTCCATTGAACCAGATACCATAAGAAAACTACTGGACTCCATGCCAAAGCGATGTCGTGAAGTCACAAGTGAAGTTATACTAGCTAATCACGGTTACTTTACCCATTATTAATTTTATTAGGTTAGCTACACTATGTACATATTTGTAATTTTAATATTAATTTTTAGTTTTTAGTTTCTCTATTTTTGTCCCTATAGTTTTTTTTATTTAACTGAATAAAATCTTAAGTTTTCGTGAGACATGAGACAATTAAAAAAAAAAAATAAAAACTATTTAAGTTTAAGTATCTTTAATTTTAACAATGCATAAAATGGTCTCAGTCTCTGCGTTAACAAAAAAGACACAATTTTAAAAAGTTTCTCTACTTTTGTCCGATATTGTATAGTTGCAGCAGTTGCAGCATATCATAAAGTTTTAATACCTATACTATGTGTTGCAAATAAACTTAACAACAAAGATTTTTATTAACTTTTTTTAACTGTTAAGCTACAGATACATGCACAGACATACCTAGTACAATATTTAAATATTATATAAACTTCTTCTCTAAAACAAAAAAGTTATTAGCCTTTTCTCTTGGCTGCTTACTATATTGTCATTGATCACAATAATTAAGTAAGTACTTATACCTAATTTTCTAGTTTAAGAACTAGAAACAAGTTGAAATACCACTTCGGTAGAAAAAAAAACATAGATAATTATTTAGTGAATAGTAATTAGTTTCAAACTGTATCTGTACTGTACATTTACACCCTCCCCTGTATATTAGCTGGATACGTGACTCCCTTGGATACAAGAGCGATTCCTGCATAATAAGAAAAACAAGAGAGATGCAAGATGTGTTTTTAAAGCTAGAGAAAGCCCGTTTTTTAAACTCTTTTTGTGTTCTATCTGTTTACGAAAAACTCAGCAAAGTTTACACAGACTTATTCGCTGAAAAGCTGACTTTACTTGCTTCGAAAATAAGCTACATTATGACATCAGCTGATGCTACTTACCGGTTATACGGGGGTCGTGTTATAATTCTGTTGCAGCGCGATCACAAACCGTCGAAGAACAAAGAAAACTTCGCGAATTCGGCGACCGGGATCAGGATTTTCGTTGGCGAGGCTACGTGTGCCTGTAACAATGCATTTCCCAGTGAAAACCGCCGGAAAACTGGGGAAAGGGACCTTTTTACCGACGAAAATCGACCACGAAACAAAAGAGTTGCCGGTATACAACTATTTTTTAACGTCAATACACCGGCTGACTTGATCCAAAGCCCAGCTGACTGGGAGAACGCGACGTTGTCGTGCGTTGCTTCCTATACTGCAGCAGTGAAAGCCGAAAGACTATTATTACCTGAATTTTATTAATTCTATTATTAATTATAAGCTTTCCAACATTTTTTTTTCTTAAACCTGTATATTTTAATCCTCAAATATTAGTATTTTTTAATCTTAGAAAGCTTAATCAATATTTTATAGTTTCTTTTTTGGGTAACCAGAAAAGATTTTCCCGCATTTGGCAACGTTGGGCGGTGTAGCATTGCGCAAGCATGAGCGATGACTAAATCGGGAATAGTATAGTAAACCCAAAGATAAATAGGAGAGAGAATATCAAGGTTTGTAAATAAATATATTATGCATATAAATATAATAAAAAAATAATGTTTACCCTATGATTAAGAATTTAGGATCGATTCATATCGGATAATAGGATTTTTATTACAGAAACCACTAACTAAAAATTATCCATTAAAATTAAAAGTAACAGCTGATTTTTATCATTTGTAATAAATAATTAAATAATAAAGATAATATTTAGTTTTGTATTAATTTTTTTTAAATGTTTTACAAATAAGCGACAATGTTGGCAAAATAAATCTATTTTTTTAATAATAATTAATTATTAAATGATTTAAATACACTCACAGGCATGAAAAACGGGCACCTTAAAATTTTCATGTATTTTAAAGTTTTATACAGGGTGTCCCAGGCTGAGCGTGCATTAGAAGTTTCTAGAGAACTATAATTGTGCTATAATATCTAGATCTAAGATTTTTTGCACATCATTGTTTCACAACGAGATCAATCTTTGAATAAGAAGACTAAGGAAGGGGCATATCAAAAATCTTAGGTCCACCGCGATGGACCTCAAATAGGGCCGACTTAAATTCCGGTTTATCAGTGCCGTTCTAATTTTATTTAAAAAATATAAAACTATAATGTAGGATAGACGTGGGGTAGACTCAATAATTTTTTTTATTTTACATTGTGAATAAATGTTTTGTAGTAAAATTGTTATAAAAATATAAAATTCTAATAAAAATAGATAAGTTATAATAATTATTTATAACCATAAACATCCGATACGCTACTGAAGGTAAGTCAAATTGACGTATCTAAATTCTTTGACATCTAACCTTTGACAAGTAGTAAATAAAAGCAAAAATGCAAAAAAAATATATAATTAGTTAATTTAAGTGAATTTCATAAATGATCGGTTTACTACACGTATGTATATTATATAGTCACTTACTAGCGAAAAGTTGTTCCATTATCTCACTCGATTTTTGCCGAGATCTACCGCACGCTACACAACCAACTATTTTAGAGTCTTTTTCGATAAATCGCGATAGTGTCACTCAGGGGGTGACAGTAAACCGGAAAATTGGAAACAGTTGTGGCGCGGTCCTACCCAGGCAGAAAGCATGGCCTTCTAGACTGTCTAGGGTTCCCAACTTGAGCATCAGCGATTCCGGGACAATTATTTTTAAGCTTTTAAATAATTGAAGCAAGACATTAAATATTAGAAAATAAAATATATTATGTGTGTAGTACACATTTTTTTAGTTTCCAGGTCCCGGCCAAGGCAAAACTTTCGCCGGGACAAACTTTCTGATTCCTGGTTAATCCCGGCCAAACCGGGACGGTTGGGAACCCTAAGACTGTCCTAGACAAAAATCTGAATATTTCTATATGATTTCTGTCAATTTCTGTTACGGAACATTTTTATGCACGTCGGCGTCCTCTTCTTTTGTCTGTGTGTCAGCCATGTGTCAACTCCCGAGGCCTCTGGCAAGGTCGGGCGCCATTTTAATTTTTGCCGTTTTAGATTTGATTGGAAGTTTGTTTATGATATTTCGGCTGAAATTTATAAGTACAAAGATGTTTTTTGATATAAAGCTCCTTGTTAACACTTTAATAAAGTATATATGGTAATAATTACATGAAGAAAATGATGAAATCGACGTTTCTGCGTGTAGTAGGTATGGGCCATATTATATGTAAAAATAGGTAATATATTAACTGTTTTTATATTTTTTTAGCTTTAGATCCAAGGATCTTGGGATATTCTTTACCAAGGATTTTTCCGTATCTCTATTTAAAGACTGATCGGTGATTTTGAGCAATTGAAAGCAAGTTACACAAGGTAAATTATGATTATTGAACTATTATTAGCCTACATTAATTATCTACAAGATGAACAGAAATGCGTAATTACATATCACATAGGTACCTATTATGTATTTTCATAGCAATAATGCTATGTATGTAGATTATTTTTTTTGTAGATTATTTTTAACATACAAATGAGGTATTAGATGTATATGTATCATATTTTTTATTCATTTTATTTTCATTCAAGTCCTGTTTGATTTAATTCACAAAAGCCTTATGTACCTATATTTATGTTTTTTACATATTTTTTTTTTTGATTCCAGGTTTTGCGTGGGTTCCTGTTGTCTTTTTCCTGCTTCCAGTTAGTTTTACGCCCGTGAAGCTGTGAAAACATTTATTTATATTCAAGTTTCTGTAAGTCAGTGCACTGTTACTTTACTAATTCACTTTAACACAACATCTCTGATGTTATTTAAATATTTTGATATTGATACAGTAGTTTATGTGTTTATAGCTCTTTAATTGTGTTGATTTGCATATTTATATTGTTCTAAATTCCAAATAAATATTTTTGAGTAATTTTGTTGTATTATTAACTACTAGAAAGAGTAAAAAGTATATTAACCCTCATTTAAACCTCCTGAACAGCCCGCCATTAAAAACCGGAAACGGGAATAAATTTCATAAAATTGAAATTGTCATGTCTATGTCATGTCAAATGTCCCAGCCGCCATATCTGAAAATTAGTTACCCAGGCAGCCACGCTGTTTCCATAATTTAACATTGACTTGACACTTCTTCTTGTATTTATTATTTTATGGTGTCACTGTTAATTTAAGTTCTGCCACAATTTCCATCTAGATTTACTACCTTTATACAACTATCAGTAGTAGAATAAATAATAAATAACATAAAATAAGCTCCGTAAAGACTGACAAATCTACAAAATTTCAAATCAAATTCAAATGTGTCAAATGTGTCGTCAAACAGAACTGTCAAGGATCCCCACCCTAGAGTCCTTTTTCCGCCCACCATGCATGAATACATGGATAGCATTATGCTCCTTCCTTAGTCTTCTTGTTCAAAGAGATCAATCGATTAAAAATATCTTCAATATGACGGCACCTCCGGAAATACCGTTGACAACAACTTTCTTTTTTTTAATGGCTATCCCCATTTTTTATTACATACTTAAATTCTCTGTAAAATTTTATGAATTCTAATATCAAACATAATTTTTTTTATAAAAAAAAAGATATTAAAATTAATTTTTAATATACATATTTTTTATATTATTCTTGTTTATTATATTTTCAAATGTAAAGATTTAAAAATTAAAACATATATCACAAGTAGTCTAAAAATACCATATGATCGAAAAAAAAACGGTGTCCAGTTGGCTTGGAAATGACGATGGATTATATTCAAAATATAATTTTATATACAAAAATGACAGCGATCTTCATTGTCTGACGCTGTTTTTTTTTCAATCGTATGGAATTTTTTTGAAACTACAGAAGCATATTAAACATTTTATATAATAAAATATATTAAGTATATTTTATATAAGTTTGATTAACTATATAAATAAACGTACGCTATATCTTTGGGTTGAATATACCAACTGGTTTTCCATTAGCTGCTTTAATAGAAAAACGAACGTTGCCAAATCGAGTGAAATTTCTCGAAATCAAATAAAACAAATGTTGAATATAATACAAAATTTATATAAATCCATTTAAAAAATATCTACGTATATGTCCTACACAAAACAAAACATAAAATGTATATAAATAACAGTCAACAACAATTTTTCAGACAACTGGACAAGTGTATAAAAATTTGCTTATTTACACGAGATTTTCGGGTGTTTTAGTGACCACCTTGAGCTACCTCCTTACACCTTTTCGCGGCTGCTTCTACAGCACCAATCACAGCACTTCTAAAACCTGGAAAAATATAAAAACTCACCGTTTTAAAAGTCTACATACCTATACAGGGTGGTCCGAACTGTATTCCGGAAACTTCGGCAGCATATTCTGCAGATAAAAATAAGTAAAAAAGTTAGTAGAAATGTATGTTCTAAATTGCTTAGTTTCGGAGATACAGGGTGTAGAAGTTTCAATTTTGTTTCTATTTTTTCCAAATAATTTATGAAGTAACGTAAATACTTGGATGAAAATCGGTGTCTGGTAGTTTTTTGACATGAGAAATTTGATTTTGATGTCAATATGAGTTCTACTTGTAGAGGGCGCCACCCACATTTTTTAACTGGATTGAAGAGTAATAATGTTTCGTCTGTACCGTAAAAAAAACATAAATTTACGATGTTTTTTACGTAAAAAGGTCTCCCGGTAAAAATTGCTGCGAGCAACCGTTCTCAAGACATTTAGAATGGAAGTATACTCTGTTTTTTTTCTCAGGTAAGATTTCGACAGACGATGACAGAAGAAAAGCAGATGACGTCCCATACCAATCTATTTATTTTACTAAAAAAAGTTTCTAATAATTTTTAAGTTAACTATGGATGGGTTTAAATATAAATTCGTCATGCGTCGTCACTTGTTGTTTTTAACCAGTTTTATTGGTTTATTTCAAAAATGACAGATCGTATTTCAATTTTATTGGTTTGACGGAACGATGCAAGACAAACGGACGCCGATGCGTATGAACTCGCCTTTAGATTTTTGACGTTTGTCAAAGTCTTGCCAAATTATAGGTTATAATTTTGTGACAACTTTTGTCAAATACCCGCGTTTTAGAAGATGATGCATTTTGATTCGTGTTATTACGTGTGTTTTGTGTCTTTTGAAGTCAAGTGGAGGAAAAATCGAGTGAAAATTAACTGTAGAACCCAGAGCACAGTTTATGGTTAATACTCACTGCCCAGGCAGAAAGTCTTATACAGATACACCAATAAAGTTACTATCTTGTTACTATCAATAAAGTTCGTATACCATCTCGTCGTAGATAAGTGCATCTCGAATATGGTAGAAGGACCATACTAAACACATACTAAAAACTGGAGTAGCTGTAAAATATCGACACCACACAATAGGTAAATAATGGATTTTAGTACTGCAGAAAAATAATGTCAAAAGGTACTGGTTTAAAAAAATTAAGATTAAAGTTAATTAATCAACCTGTGAGGTATAAAATTTGGTAAGTGTTATTATTAATAAAATAGTTTGTTTTATTTATGTTGTTTTATTTATTCCTGCGGAATATTACAAATCTGTATTTGTACATAAGTTATATTGATAAATATAATGATAAATGCGGGAAGTTTCATAAAGCTTGAAAGTAAGAAATAGTTCTTTTTTATATTTTTTGGTACGTGGTGTCTTGTTTTTGTTTGTTTTGTATTAACACATACCGTTTTTTATTAAATAAAATAACTCGATTACATTTCTTCAGTTTTAAACAGTTTTTTTCACAATATTTTGAAGTTACTTGTAAGTCAAATTTTAAATACATAATATATTAATTTCCTGCTATGCGTTCCAGTTGTACCAACTTATTTCTTTGCAAAATAAAATAAACTACTTTGAAATTAAAATGACAGACACATCTATCACAGTCAAGGATCTTCTCGTTGGACAGACTATAGTCAATACATGTCATTATTGACAAAAAAATAAACATGTTGAGTAAATAGTTATTTGACTGAAATGATATATTTGAAAACTTTTTATATTTTCAAATTAATCATCAATTTTTCTTCGAAAAAAATGATGATAAACCAGTTTTTGTTGAACTTTTAACACAACATTATTTCATATTTATGATTTCAGTCTAATAACTATTTATAGTTAACATGTTTATGTTTAATTTATGTCAATGATGACAGGTATTGATAATATCGATTCCAAATATCTGCAGAACCATTACTCGTAGCGATTTTTACCAAAAGACCTTTTTTACGTAGAAAACGTCGTAAATGTATATTTTTTTGATCAGTAGTTTGATACAGGTACGTACGAAAAGTTATTACTCTTCAAACCAGTTAAAAAATATGTAGGTGGCGCCTTCTACAAGCAAGAGTCATATTGACATCAAAATCAAATTTCTCATGTTAAAAAACTCCCAGACACCAATTTTCATCCAAATATTGACTTTTTTTCAGAAATTATATGGAAAAAATCGAAATAAAAATGAAACTTCTACACCCTGTATCTCCAAAACTAAGTATTTTAGGACATACATTTATACGAACTATTTTACTTATTTTTATCTGCAGAATATACTGCCGAGGTTTCCGGAATATAGTTCGGTTGGGCGATATACCGGGTGTCCCACTAAGAATAGCTCTCGGTTGTATCTGTATCTCGGAAAGTATTAGCCGTAAAACCTGCGGAAAGAAATATTTATAACTAAAGGGGCTATGAGAAAATGCTGGAAATTATTTTCAAGTTTGTAAGGGCCGCTAGGTGGCGCAACTGCAATGGAAAATAAGAAAATAGATTTTTTACAGAATTTTGCCTAGATAATGGGTACTATAAATAATAGCTTCATAATCTTCAGTAAATTTTGGATTTTTTTTGTTAGAACCATTTTCCCCTATCTGCTAACATAAAGTGGTGGGGGAAGGTTAGATCTATCTTTATTTAAATGTTAATAACTCCGGATTGAATGATCAGAATCCAACAAACAAGGGCTCGTTTAAAAGAGCGTTTCTTACTCTATATTATGCCATAAAAATAATAATAATAATAAGGTTTTGAACGTAGACGCTTTACGAGATTTATTATTTGAAGTGAAAAAAAAGTAATCAAAAGATAAAAACGCTGCTAAGACTATCAAAATGTTGATCTAATAACAATTTGACGTTTATACTATTACGTCAAAAGGCAACTTTTTTCCAAAGCCTACCATGACTTCACTGAATCATCGTTTCTTGTTCACTATTATTAATATCTTAATGATTAGATATTAATACATCTGTGATATATTATGATATTCTGGTATATCATCGATTTTTTTAACGAACTGTTTCTATCTTATTTTGAGGTTAGAATGGGCATAATCAAAAGGGCTACTGATACTGTCTTGTAAAAATAAGGTAATTAAGGGCTTATTTTTTGGTATTTATTATAATCTTGGTAATATCTTCGGTTTGAAAGAAGATATCAAGATGCCGTTTCCGCTGACTTTTTAAGCTTTTACTACTCTTTACTATCAGCTAAAATTACATATACTATTGCCTTTAATTTTTTTGAAAAAACGCGCAATGTTTGTAAGACAACGCACCCTAGCGTCTACGTTCAAAAGCTTATTATTATTCTTTATATGGTACAGTATAGAGTAACAAACGCTCTTTTAAACGAGCCCCCGTTTGTTGGATTGCGATCATCCAGTCCAGAGTTATTAATATTCATATAAAAACAGATCTAACATTCCCCCACCATTTTATTTTGGTAGATAGGGGAAAATGGTTCTAACAAAAAATATTCAAAATTTACTGAAGATTCTGAAGCTGTTACTTATAGTACACCTTATCTAGGCAAAATTGTGTAAAAACTCCACTTTCTTATTTTTTGTTGCAGTTGCGCCCCCTAGCGGTCGTTCTACAAACTTGAAAATAATTTCCATCAATTTCCCATAGCCTCTTTAGTTATAAATATTTTTTTCCGCAGCCCCTACGGCTAATACTTTCCGAGATACAGCCGAGAGCTATTCTTAGTGGGACACCCTGTACAATTGTTCAGCGATCATTCAACGTGACGTCATATACCGGGTCGGCATTTCTGGCCTTGTGTGGGGATTTTTGGGTGTACGAATAGTACGGTCAATACGTACAGTACAATAACATGTACTGAATAAAGATAGAAGAGCAAGTATTTTCCCAACGGCAACGCATGAAATCTAGCGTCGGATTAAGTGGTTAATAAATACTTCGTATTTTTGTCTCTCCCACTTACTAGATTGCCATAGTGATTCGCTCCTAGACATATTAAACACTGACCCAAGACGTCACTTGCCGATAGAGTATTGTCAATCTCTCTATTTCATTTGACAACAAGATCAAAGAAATTAGTGACGTCATTCTTCTTCTTATCACGCCCTCTCCTGCCGAAGGTTGGCGATCCAAATGGCAATTGTGGCTCTGGAAACTGCAGCCCGGAAGATTTCCGCAGACGAGGGTTCAAACCATCTCCTCAAATCTTTTAGCCATGAGTTCTGGCGTCTTCCTACTGATCTTTTCCCTTGCACTTTGCAGAAGGTTTTGAGGACATGGGACATAAGACTTATCATCCGATAGTCATCACATTGTGATTCGTTGGGTTTCTTTGGCAGGGTTACGAATGTTGATTTAAGCCAATCTGACGGTATTTTGCTTGAGCTATATAATTTGTTAAATAATGCTGTTACCAAATCTAGACTTCTGCTTTCGTTATCTGCAATGAGTTTAAGTATTTCAACGTTTATTTTATCGGGACCGGTAGCTTTTCCGCTTTTCTGCGCTTTTATTGCATGAACAACTTCATCTTTGGTTATCGCTGGAGCCTTTTCATTCAGTATGTGATCTATCGGTGGTGGGGAACAGGGTCTGTCATCATTAAAAAGTGTTTCGATATATTCTTTCCATCTCACAAGCCTAGCCTTTACTCCTAGAATTATCTCGTTGTTATCGTTTCTTAGGATTGTTTCTTGGTGTTTTCTGTGTCTGTTTGTAAATTCTTTCACTTTTTTATGAACATTGAAGGTGTCATACTTTGCTTGTAGTTGCTCTATTTCTTGACATTTTTTTGACATCCAGATCTCTTTCTCTTCCCGGCACTTTTTCCTAATGATCCAATTTAAACGTTTGTATTTTATCGGGTTTGCCTTCTGCTTCCGTCTGTCATCCATGAGGTCTAGTATTTCCTGTGTGATCCATTCCTGCTTTTTGTTGATTGCCGTGAATCCAATATATTTTTCCTGGATATTTGTTATTCTAGTTCTTAAATCATTCCATGTCTTTTCGACATCCTCTTCCCGTACAGGTACCTCTACCATTTCTAGTTCTTTTTCGATCTTAGAACTGATCTCTTTCTTTTTCTCGAGGTTGTTCAATAGTGCGATGTCTATTTTCTTTGCCGTTTTTTCTCTTTTAACTCTCAAGAATCTCTTGAGCCTAAAGTCCAGCACGACAGGGTTGTGGTCATTACATTACAGGGTTGACGTCATTACATTACCGCATTACGTGAAATACTGCATATTGTTTCTGGCAATTGTCATTTAATTTGATGTTATAATTTTAGTAACAGATATCGATCAATGTCAAAATGATACAAGGTCCGGCAATAGTGCGTGGGGCATCTGTAGCTCCTAGAATATAGAGAACTTGAGAATTGTGTTTAAGTGCAAACCTAAACTATGTACTAGGATGTATTTCAGAAAAAATATTTTAACTTCTATAGAGTGGCTCAAAAAAAGTGTGAGTGAATCGAGATGATTTTTTTTAATGAAACACCCTGTATATTATTACATTTTTGGCTTTTTCTATTCACTTTACATATTCCTAAAATCTATTTCGATTTTCGATAGTTTAAGAGATATTAGCAAATAAATAAAAAATGTACACTTTTTCAAAAATGTTTTTCTTTTTCAGCTTTTCTTAAAAAAAATATTAAAATACAAGAACTGCCCTGGAATCAAAACTATATTAGGTATTTACTTTAGATGGTCTGTAACTTACTTTGCTAGAAATGTCGTAATCTTAATACATGGTGCTCAAAATTGTACACCAAATTTTCTAAAATATAAAATAATTGTTTTTTTTTAATGGAACACTGTGTATATTATTTTTTTATTAGATGGAGACTTAAAAAATGAACATTTTTTTATATTTAAAGTATTACAAAAGTTTTAATGGTTTCGCAGATACACTCAGTATTATTTCATATGGCTCTTTCAACGGTAAAATACGAGAGAAAAATCATTGGTTGGCTTTGATAAAAATTTACTGTGGAAAATGCCATATGAAATATAAAACCGCGAATATCTGCGAAACCGTTAAACATTTCGAAATGCTCTTAATACAAAGAATGTTCATTTTTTAATTCTTCTTCTATTAAAAAATAATACACAGGGTGTTCCATTGAAAAAAACGAACAAAAATTATTTTATATTTCGATTTTGAACATTCTGTATGAGTTACGATTACCATATTTATAGCAAAGTTAATTACAGACTATCTAAAGTAAATACCTAATATAGTTTTAATTTTAGGACAGTTCTTGTATTTTTAATATTTTTTTAAGAAAAGCTGAAAAATATATATTTTTTATTTATTTATATCTCTGAAACTATCGAGAGATGTTTACTCATATCTTAGGATGATGTAAAGTGTTCTAAAAGGAAGCAAAAAATGCCATAATATACAGGGTGTTCCGTTTAAAAAAAATCATCTCGATTCACTCACACTTTTTTGAGCCACCCTTCAGAAGTTAAAATATTTTCCTGAAATGCATCCTAGTACATACTTTAGGTTTGCACATAAACAAAATTCTCAAGTTTCTTTTTCTAGGAGCTACAGATGTCCGACGCACTATTGCCGGACCCTGTATATTGCTCAATTAACAATTTAGGAACATATTTAAAATTTTCTAAATAATATGAACCTCAGACACACCCCAAAACGCATATTTGACAATGATGACGTAAGGTTAAATGATCGCCTTTAGCCTAGATCATATCAAGGATACTATAGAGATAAGGATAGTTCGATTCCTATCTTCCTGCACTGTCAGTTTTTTTACGTCATCTACTGACCGAGTTGAAGTTGGCGCTAAAGATTTTAGACAGTGACAGTTATTTTTGCATTTGACGGACGAGCGCACAGTGCGTTGGAAGATAAATTTAGCGGGACAAAAGCGTTTGGTTAGAAATAAGCCAAAAAATGTGTAGTGATAAAAATAAATAGTAGACATTCCAATTGATACAAAAATGCATGAATATTCTTTGTATTTCGATACATTTTTATTAAGCAAATTTGGACGTTTTCTGCTCAGCAAGGCAGAGATCATACGAAAACAAAATATTTACAAGTGCTTATACATTTTATTAGAAAGCCAAATTATGTTGAAGATTGCCAAAGGTATGTACTTTTCTACTGTACGTATATTATTTGTTAAAATCCTTCGTGCCTTTGTTCTGCAGATATCAAACTTTCACTTTTTTTTCAAATATCGATATATTGAATGATGTAGATCTTTTGAGTTACCAATAGTTATATACCAACACAGGTAGTCACAGTCACAGGGAGTTTAAGCTTAACAGATGAATGCCCAAAAAGATTCATTTCAATCGGATAGTATAAAAATAAAACACTCCATCAAAAGGCACTGAGTTTAAAAAATTGTCTTAGATACTTACTATATATGAATTTACAATTACCGAGTGTTAAAATTAAAATGAAAATAACTATCTTATTTATTATTTTCAAAATAAAATATATTTTTTTAAAATAAATTATAGAGGGTGTCACAAGATTACAAATTAATTAAAAAAAACTGCTAAAGAGTTTTTTGATATCATATTTTTTTGTATTTGGCAATAGTTTACAATACGGTTTTTGTGTGTCATGTACGAATAATATCATAGTTTTATTATCTTGTATTTATTTATTAATAACTTAAGTTGTTAATAAATTTAACCATATAGTTGCTGTATATTAAACTATTTGCTACGTTCTTAGATTTTAAGTCCCAAATATTGCTCTTGAGATTTTGTCCCGCTAGAATAACCATCCGCCGCACTGTGGAGCGCTGGTCAGCGCGTGACGTAGCATTCCACGGCGATTACGACAGCGGCGATTTGACGCGATCGAACAGTCCTTTAGAATATATACAGACCTGGAGATCATATAGGGAAATTAAAATAACTTTGGTTGCACATCATAATACGACCACCAGCAAACTCCATAAGACGACGCATGGTGTCATTGATGACGTGCAACGAAAGTTGTTTTAATTTAACTTTATATACTTACGTGGATAAATAAATCACTATGGAAACTGTCGCAAACATATCAACGACTTCCATTTAGTTTCTTGTTTTGTTGCACACTCGGTGCTTCTACTCTATCTGTCCTTGTCGAGGACCTATCGTCCGCACGCCAAATTTGAACATTAATTTTGAAAATTGAATTTGTAAAATGCTTATATTTGAACAATAATTTGAATGTTTACTGTCACAAAAATTAAATTATATAAAAAATACATTTAGCCACTCCGTACGAATATCAATATTCATAGAAAATCTAACCAGAAAGTATGCATGTGGCTTAATATAAATAACAGAACAACTGAATACTTTTCTTGTCTACAAAAAGATAATTCGGGGACCTTTATATTAGAACTTTCACATACCAAACACTATCTAGTCATTTTTTAAAGCATTTAGAAAGTCAAACGATAAAAAATAGAAATATTTGTGCAATAAATGTGCACAAACTTAAAATTAACTTCTCTCTGAACACACTTGCATCCTTGACATATAAAACCGGTCGATAAAAGAGTAATTAATACAATTTTTAAAATAAAAAACACAAAAAACAAGCGTCGTTACACAATGGAACTAAGATTATGACAATATGATGACAGTGAAAAGTTGGTTTCTATAACAATGTATAATTTGTACTTTTTAAACTGTATAAAATTGTGATTATTTTGGAAATACGTGCAACTTTTAATGCGCACGAGCAAAGTAAGGTCCTCGAAAAAGACAAACCCATTGACCGTTTCATAAGTGCAATAAAGAAGGTTTGAAACTGGCATGTCGTGATGTTGGAGACATATTTTATAATGCTAAACTTATGGCGTTGATTTATCCACGTAAGTATATATGATCTAGCGCCTTTACAGTCTTTAGTCTTTACGCTAAATATTTTAGCAAATAGCTTACTGCTTTGCTCGAGGAAATGCAGTCCAGTGGCCGTAGATCCTCCTGGTGACGTAACGTCGTCTTTAAGTACTCCGGGATGTTGCCTGGTGTCCCGTACCATTTTACCGGCACCCAGGACAGTTTGAGAAGCTAGTCTGTAAGCTAGGTCTCTGGGTAGGCCCATTTTGACACCGCCATCGGCTAAGGCTTCAATAAAAATGTAAACCTGAAAAAAGTTTCGAATATATTATTTTATTTATTTAGTAATATACAGGGTTGTTCACCACATACGACACGGAGTATTGTAGCTAAACGATTAGATTTTTACAAATTGTAAGTATTGAGTTTGTTGAAGGACTATTAGACTACAAGTTAAAAATAATTTTACAAGATACAGAGTGTCGCAAATAAGTAAAAAATATTATAGTCGTATTTTTTTAAATGGAAGCCGGTGCCGGTGGTTTAAAGGTGCCCGGTGGCGCGGCGTAGAGGTACAGGCTCTCGTCTACCAATCTCAAGGTAGTGGGTTCGAATCCCACACCCAGCATTTCATCAGCCGACAATTTTTATTAAAATAAAAATAGTTTGGGTACCTAGGTCGACTCAGTCTTAAACGAGTACTTAGGATTCACAATCCTGAAGTAATAATAGGCGGTTGAAGCTAGGTGCTAGCCACATTACCTTCCTTGTATACCGAGCGGCTCTAGTATGGCAAGCTGTACCTTGCTACTCCCAAGGCGTCAAACGCTATATATATACGGGAGCTATTATTTTTTTTTAATGAAACACCCTGTATATTATTCTATTTTTAGATTCTTCGATTGAAATAAAGGCAAAATTGATTACGGTTTATCACACTTAAACCTTACCGTTTTTGAAATATTTTCAATTTTGTGAAATTGCAGTAAAACATTTAAGGCTTCATTTCTCCAAGGGTATCGGAGTTTTTAATACTAAATATTTACTGAAGATTATTTATTGATCAGATATTATGTTGCATTAATAAAAATTATACTACCTTATACAGAGTGTCCAAAAAATTATATTATATAATTACTAGCTTTAAACGGCAATAACTTGTTTAATTTAAATAGAACACCCTGTATATTTTAAGTGGATCAGATGCACAATTTAATTGTCTATCAAATTATATTATACCATTTTTTACTTATCTTTTCTAGTTTTCGTAGAAAATGCATTTTCTTATAATTTTGATCTCATTTATTAGATTTTTTTAAAGCTGTTGCTTTAAAAAAATGTACAAAATGTATAGGTAGTAAAAATATTAATATTGCAAGCTTATTTGTTTACAAAAAGAAAACTATTTAAATCTTTGTAAAATAGTATACCAATTAAATATGCCACCATTATTTCCGCCCAAAAATATTTAATTACATACTTAATTGTTTTAATTATTCTAAATAAATGTGGATTTGACAGTTCAATACAATAATAGGTTATGAAAATGAACGTCTCTGTTGTCATAAATAAGCATTCGTCAAAAAATTCAATAAAATATAAATAAAAATATACACATACAAAATTCAGTTTTTTAGTATTTGGAGTAATTATTATTAATTAACATTAATGTAGTGTTTAAATACTGGGATCATATTAATTATTGATCCTCTTTAATATAAAACATTTAAACAGTTTTTTTTTATTTTTTTAATGAATATAATCGAACTATATCGACAATATAGTATCTGTACTCTTTGAAAATTTGTTATATCTTCAAAAATAATCTAAAATGTCAATATTCCATGGGTATAGTAATAAATGAGGTCTAAATTATAAGAAAATTATTTTTTTACGAAAACTTGAAGAGATAGGTAAAAAAATAGTATAATACAATTTGATAAATAATGAAATTGTGCATCTGATTCTCATAAAACATACAGGGTGCTCCATTTAAATTAAGCAAGTTATTGCCGTTTAAAGCTAGTAATTATTTAATATAAATTTTAGACACTCTGTATAAGGTAGTATTTTGTTTATTATTGCAACACAATATCTGATCAATAAATAAACTTCAATAAATATATAGTATTAAAAATTGTAATACCCTTGTGGAAAAAAAATACTAATTTTACCTTAAAATTTCATAAAAATGAAAATACTTCAAAAACGGTAAGGTTTGGTTTAAATTTACCTTTATTTCAATCGTAGAATCTAAAAATAGAATAATATACAGGGTGTTTCCATTTAAAAAAATACAAATATACTATTTTTTACTTATTTGGGACACTCTGTATCTTGTAAAAATATTTTTAAATTGTAGCTCTAATAGTCCTTCAACGAACCCAAAACTTACAATTTGTAAAAATCTAATCGTTTAGCTACAATATTCCGTGTCGTATGTGGTGAACATCCTAGTAGAGTTAGAGTTAGCTCCATTACAGTTAGGGTTAGAACCTTTGGTGTTAGCAAAATAAAACACTAAATCACCACAATAAACGATGATGCTAACATCGTCCGCGCGCGTCCAGAACAAAAGAAAAAAGTGTTTTGGTGTATTGTGGTGATTTAGTGTTTTATTTTGAGTTAATTCCAAATGAACGGAATGAAAAATTGATTATAATATATTAACTGATGTTATTTAGGTATATTTCATTTAAAACACTTACGTATGCTGGTCCAGATCCACTCAATGCTGTCACGGCGTCCATCCAAGCCTCCGAAACCTCCTCGCAGATTCCGATACTCTGAAGAAGCTTTTTGGTGATGTTAACGTCACGGTCGGTTGCCGCAGCACCCTTCACGAACACCGAGGCACCACTTTGAACCAAGGCCGGCGTATTGGGCATCACTCGGATCACCCTGGCCTGTTTTGGCAGCAGCTGTTTATGAAAATGTTATTACTACATTGTGAAACGCTTGAAAGTACTACGGTACTTCTATATATTATCTACTTAAAGACGTACTTCAATTTTTCTAGTACTAGAATTGTTTGGGTGCTTCGATTCTTTCCTTGAAATCAATGTTAAGTAAACATTTTCAAAAATTCTAGATATTTTTGTTCCTTATTTAAAGATAACATTTAAAATGGCATTTTTTGTAATTGCACCACTATAAATACCGTATTAAATAGATATGGTATAAATAAATATCAATTTGCAGACGACCAGGCCATAATTGCAAACGACAAAGATGACATGGAATATATGGTGCGGAAAATAATTGAAGAATATGCTAAATGGGGTCTCAGAGTAAATACAGAAAAAACAAAATACCTTCCAATTGGAGCTAATACAGAAAATCTTATTTTAGGCAATAATATGGAAATTAGGGCATGTGAAGATTACAGGTACCTGGGATCGATATTTACAGGAGATGGAACGGACGATAGAGAAATAAACAACAGAGTAATACAGGCACGAAGAGTTATCAGATGCATAATGTAAATCTGTAAAAATAATATTACAGAAGATTTGTCAAGAAATTTGCCAACCTAGCTGCGCCCTACATAAGCCTACAGGTGATGAATGGAATACTTGTGATTGTGATGTAGCCTTTGTAAGACTTAAGGCGGCTCGATGTTCAAGTCCTATTTTAGCCTACCCGCAACAACAAGGGTGGTATATCCCAAATACAAGATGGCAAAGAACGAGTGATGTACGAGAATATTACAGTCTCATTCTATCCAAAACCAGAAAGGAATTTACTGCATTATCCGGAAGGAGCTGCTACCAATTGTGAGGCAGTGGATCGTTTCCATAAATCTTTGTACGGCCAAGAATTTTTAATTAGGACAGATCATACGGCTCTCAAGTGGCTTATGGAAATGAAGGAACCTGAACTTTCTTACTTACTGCCATTACTCGCTGACGAGTATTTGACACGCTTTTCTGTGACTGAAAAGCCCGATACGTGATGTTATCTCTCTTCCGCACTCCGGACATTCAAAAATCTCATCAGATTCTTGCCTCTTTACTTTTTGATTGTCGTTGTTAACTGAGTTTACAATTCTCCTCCATTACGTACTATTGTGCGCTGCTTCCTCCCACTGATGCTGCATACTTATCCCCTTTAAGTTTTCATGGATAACATCCTTGTATCTTTTGAGTTGTCCACCCGGTTTCCTGTTACCCTCTACAAGTTCACCGTAAAGAAGCGATTTCGGTAGGCAGTTTTCTTGCATCCTGCATACGTGGCCAGCTCATCTTAAGCGAGATTTAGTAATCATGACTTCAGCGCTCTCCCAGCCTGCCTTTTCAAGGACTGATACGTTTGAGACATGGTGGTGCAATTTAATTCTTAACAGTTGTCTAAGGTGTCTCTGTTGCCACTTGTTTAAACCGCTCGTATGCCGGAGGTACGGCTAAGGGTCGGCATTTCTGGTCTTGGGTGCCGGTTTACATGTGTACGAAGAGTACGGTCAGCACGCTTAGTAAAATAAGATGTACTGAATAAAGACAGAAGGCGAGTATTTTCCCAAGCGCATGGAATCTGAATCTAGCGTCAGATTAAGTAGTTATGTAATAAACACTCGTATTTTTGCTCACTCCAACTTACTAGATTGCCATAACGACTCACTCCTATACATGTAAACGCCGACCCAAAGCGGGGTATAGTATAGTGGGGATTATTACTGCTCGATACACTGCAAGTTTCGTTTTTGTGCTCAAGTCATGATTGTAGAAAACCGTGTCTTTTAATTTCCAGAATGCTCTTGAAGAATGCGCTGCTAATTGCTTTTTCCGAAACTAAACTGCCGAGGTAATTAAATTCCGATACATATGCCAATAGTTCTTCTCCGATTTTTATAGCGCTGTTATAATTTTCCGGGGGAGTGCACATGATTTTAGTTTTATCGATGTTCAGCTTAAGGCCCCAAGTCTCGTTTGCCCAAGTATATGTGTTCAGTATTTCCTGTAATTGCTGTAGCGTACTTGCAACTAGAGCGAAGTCATCAACGTATTGGAGTTCTGTGATGAATTTTATACGTATTTTTGCCCTGAGTCTTTTTAGGTTGAACAGACTTCCGTCATACCTGGTATCTGGTATCTAACATCCATTCCTCTTTCTTACAGTTTGCTGTCCACTATAATAGAGAGTGTTGCCATGAATATGTTTAGATCCTGAAGGACAAATAAAGGCAGGATGGCTAGAGAAGCTACAGCAATATCACTTTGCCATCCAATATCATGCTGGAAAAATGTGTAACGCAGGCGCTTTATCCAGAAAACCCTGTCAAACCGATTGTAAGCACTGCTGTAAAATGGAACAACGCGGAGGCACTGCCATGATAAGGAGTTTTAAACTTAGAGCTGTTGAACATTGGACGACGACACAAATGAAGAATGAACAAATGGATTTTCCAGACCTGGGAGCAATATACTACGGCTCAAGGAAGGTAACGGCGAGAGACCATCGTGGCATCCCTAATAGTACATACCTGTTCTAATTGCTTAGTGGTGACACCCATCGCAACAGACAGAAACAACTTATCAGCATCCACTCCTGACTTCTTCACATCAGCTAAAGCTATAGGAACTATATACGGCTTCACGGCAACAATGACAACTTCAGACTTTTGCACCACTGGGAGATTCTCGGTTATTGATTCGGCTCCAAGATCCTAAAACAGTAAAAAGGGCCGTAGTACGTTGGGGTCAAAAAACGGCGTCAAAGACGGCTGAGAAATAACAATCTATGATAAATTTGGTGAGGTCAATCTATATCAAAAAATGACATAAAACTTAATAAAAAATAAAGAAGAATACGGGACAAGTAATGACGTCTAGAGCTTGACCTCACCAACATTATAATCGATGATCATTCCCCAGCTGTCTGTGACCAAGGACTGTAGGTATATATCACAGGTATATATTCTAAAGGACTGTTCGATCGCGTCAAATCGCCGCTGTCGTAGTCGCCGTGGATGCTTACGTCATGCAGGGACTAGCGCTCCACAGTGCGGCGGACGGTTATTCTAGCGGGACAAAATCGCAGGAGCGATGATTGGGACTTAAAATCTAAGAACGTAGCAAATGTTCTAATATATAGCAACCATATGGTTAAATTTATTTATTTATTAACAATTTAATTTATTAATAAATAAATAAATACTAGATAATAAAACTATGATATTATTCGTACACGACACACAAAAACCGTACTGTAAACTATTGCCAAATACATAAAATTATGATACCAGGTGAAATACTTATAAAAAACTCTTTAGCAGTTATTTTTTAATTACTTTGTAATCGTGTGACACCCTGTATATTTTATTTTAAAAAATTCTATTTTATTTTGAAAATAATAAATAAGATAGATATTTTAATTTTAACACTCGGTAATTGTAAATTCATATATAGTAAGTATCTAAGACAATTTTTTAAACTTTTATTAAAACTAGTAATAATCATCTAGTTTTATTATAAATTATCAGACAGAGAAAAAAGGCTTTAGCATATCATCATGCTTTATTTAACTAGAACATCATTCGGATAATTTTGTCTTAAGGAAAATTACCGAACTAAGTATTGGTGTCATTCATTAGCTGCCCAAACACGAAAGGCCCGGCCTTCGGACTTGGCCTTGGGTCCGGGCCTTTAACCCAAATACTATACTAATATACCATAGGTTTGCGTGAAAGGCAAAGTCTGCGAATATATTTCCGATATGGTAATTTGGGGGAAAGCCCCGGCCTCAAGGCCAAGTCCGAAGGCCGGGCCTTTCCGCGTCTTGTAGCTATTAATTTTTTAAACTCAGTGCCTTTCGATGAAGTTAAGATTTCGACAATTACAGCAGTATATCCTTACTCCCACTAGCCCTAAAGCTCATAGTACTTGCAAAACCCAATTCTTCTTTTGAATGCTCTTCAATTAACCATTTAACGAGTCTTTGTTTCGTTTTTATACTATCCAGTTGAAATAAAACTTTTGGGCATTCACCTGGTAAGCTTGAACTTCCTGTGACTGTGACTATCTGTGTTGGTAACTATTGGTAACTCAAAAGATCTACATCATTCAATAATATATCGATATTTGAAAAAAAGTGAAAGTTTGATATCTGCAGAACAAAGGCACGAAGGATTTTAACAAATAATATACGTACAGTAGAAAAATACATCCCTTTGTCAATCTTCAACATAATTTGGCTTTGGAATAAAATGTATAAGCACTTGTAAATATTTTGTTTTCGTATGATCTCTGCCTTGCTGAGTAGAAAACGACCAAATTTGGTTGATAAAAATGTATCGAAATACAAAAAATATTCATGCATTTTTATATCAATTGGAATGTCTACTATTTATTCTTATCAGTACACATTTTTTTGCTTATTTCTAACCGAGGGGTGTCTCACTATTGGAATTACATGTGCATTTTCTTGGCAGTCGCTGGCAGTCATTGGCAGTCTCTATTCTGGCAGTCGCCTATAATAATTACATGGCAGTCATAGGTAGTCTTCTTCATAGTCATTGGCAGTCGCTTAGCAGTGGAAGGATATTTTGGCAGTACATTTGTATGTACATTTTTTTCCCTAGTGAGACACCCCTCGTTTCTAACCAAACGGTTTTGTCCCGCTAGATTTATCTTCTACCGCACTGTGCGCTCGTCCGTCAAACGCAAAAATAACTGTCACTGTCTAAAATCTTTAGCGCCAACTTCAACTCGGTCCCTAGATGACGTAAAAAAACTGACAGTGCAGGAAGATAGGAATCGAACTATCCTTATCTCTATATAGTATCCTTGGTCTGTGACGCCCTTTTTTTCGATCGTTTGGGTTTTCTAATTTTAAGACATATAACTCTGGTACTCTCTAGAAAATTCCCTCTCTTACCTTAAAAGCTTGCAGACTAACAAGATCGGTGGGGTGGCAACTGGATATTATAGTTTCTCCTTTTGCTAAGCCTATAAAGAGATTTACAAAAATAAGTTGTTATAAATAATTATTAAAAAATAGGAAAAAATCTTGCAATTGAAGGGTACAGGGGAAAAATATTGTCAAGAAAAATGGCGCATCCGCCAGAAATTAAAAATGTATTACTGGTTGCCTGCACAACCGCAACGTATCCGCCAGAAATTAAAAGACTTTTTCAGGCGCCATCTTTTAGTCAAGTCGAGAAGTAAGGGAATCAGACAATAGAATTGTCTGGTATGAAGAAGTACGCTTTCCGAGAATTGGAGAAATTTCGAGAAGCAGTCAATAGAGTATATAAGCCGGAGCCATCGACAACGGAGACAGTTTTTTGAAATTTGAATATACCGCGTGAAAATTGAAAATCGGACAATTTGGTGAAGGAATCTTATAAATAGTTAGTTTGTTGTGTGTTATAAGTTAGTAATTGTGTATAAAGTGAGAAAATAAATTCGTTAAGTATTTTATCGTGAGTTTAAATTAGTGGACCCACGGAATCCGTAACAATTGGTGTCGGAAGTGCGATTCAAGAGGATTTTAAGAAGAAATTAAGTGGATTGGACGATTTTTAGACCGGATTAGAGTATTTTTATGGTTGGTACAAGGGAACAAGCGAAGAAAATGGAGGAAGTAAGCAAACTATTAGGCGATTTTATGGAGAATATGAGAAGGGAGAAAGCAGAAGAACAAGAAAGACTCCGTAAAGAACGAGAAGAAGAGCGAGCCCGATTAGAAACAGAAAAGGAAGAGGAAAAACTACGACGTCAACAAGAACAAGACCGGCTTGAGAACATTTTCGAAGATTTGAAAGTTCAACGACAACAAGACAAACAAGAAGAACAGGACCGGCAAGACAAAATTTTCGAAGATTTGAAAATTCAACGACAACAAGACAAACAAGAAGAACAGGACCGGCTTGAGAAAATTCTGGAAGATTTCAAAGTTCAACGAGAGCACGACAAACAAGAAGAACAGGACCGGCTTCAGAAAATTCTTGAAAATCAAGAAATTAGACAAGAACGGTTGGAGAAAAATTGTTGAAGATTTAGAAGTGCGTCGCCAGAAAGAAAAATTAGAAGATCAAAACCGATTTAAGAAGAACTTTGAAGAACTGAAAAAAGGCAAGACATCCACCTTCAAGAAGCCGTAGAAGATCTTGAGGAACGCCTTCAGCAGAAAATGGAAAAATTAGAGATGGACCTACAGAAGACCAAGGTACAAGTAAAGACACCTGGCGTTCATGGAACTGCAAACCTCAAGGCCCCGACCTACGATGGACAAACCACCTGGACGATGTACCACCGCCAGTTTGAAGCAGCGGCTGCTGCCAATGGATGGACTGACCAGGAGAAAGCAGCGGCACTCGTCATCGCGCTGCGTGGCCCTGCCCTGGAATTGCTACAAACTATTCCTGCAGCCCAACAGCAGGAGTACGAAACCTTGGTTACTGCATTGGACCGAAGATATGGCGACCAACATCGACGTCAACTTTACCAGGCCCAGATCAAGACACGCATGCAGAGGTCCGGAGAGAGTCTGCAGGAATTTGAAGCAGACTTACGTCGGCTGGTACACCTGGCATATCCAGAAGCACCGGAAGGATTTAGGGAGGAACTCGCTGCTCAGTGCTTTATCAGCGGACTGAGGGACAACGAATTACAGAGGGCGCTGCAAATATCCCGATTTTCTACCAGCAGCGAAGCACTGGTCAGGGCGCTGGAAATCGAAGCTGCTTTTAGCGCCATCCCTAGACCGAAGATAAGATCGGTAGCGGTCGAGGAACAGCCCGAAAACACTCACAGAGGTTTGGAGGAGATGTGTAAGAAAGTCGACAAACTATGTGAGCTACTAATAAACAAGGGAGTCAGCAACACCCAGACAGAAAACCAGAGAAGATTCCAGGACATAAGGTGCTTTAGAGGTGGCAGGAATGGCCACATTAAACGGTATTGCCGCGTTCAAATGCGATCCCGTTCACCATCCAGAGAACGTAGGCACCAGGAAAACTAAAATCAGTCAATACTAAGGGGCGAGTATTGACTGGGGAGAACAGAGCCCCAAGGATTTTTTCCATTAGAAATCTAGGAAGAACCGCTGACAGTTTGGTGATCGACGGGAAAGTCAATGGAAAGGGAATCCGAATGACAGTGGACACTGGCGCTATGGTTTCGTTGGTGCGGGCTAACTCAGTGCAAGGATTGAAGCTGGTGCCTCTGAGAAGAAGAGTGTGTTTACGTACAGTTACGGGGGAAATGGCCGTTGTACGGAGAGGCTATCGTCGAACTGAAGTTAGGAAATTTGAAGTTCCAGCATAGCGTTTTAGTGGCAGATATTGAAGATGACTTCATCTTGGGCATGGATGTGATTCGTCAACATGGATTTTCGTTCGATCACCAGAGAAATATCTTAAATATTGGAAATGAAGAGTTCATGTTATCTCCAGACGAGGACCAGGAAGAATGGATGTAAGATCAGCGGAAACTGTGGTGATACCTGGTAATACCGAGAAGATCGTATTCGGTAAAGTGGAGAAAATCGCTGGGTGCTGTGTTGGATGGTACAAAGTAGCGACAAGAAACAAGATAGGTACTTAGTAGGAAAATCATTGGTGAACACCGACAAGAATATACCGATCAGAATTGCGAATGTTTTCCCGAATTGTGTCAAGATCCGAAAAGGTGACAAGATAGCCATCTGCGAACCTGTAAGAAGTGTCACCCGATGTGATGAAGTGTCGTCAGCTGTTACACAAAAGGCATCCCAAGAAACACTAAAACATCTAGAACAGCCATGGGATCACCTAACACCTGAGGAGAAACAGAAGGCCAAGCAGTTCCTGCTAAAGCATGGCAGTATTTTTGAGAAGAACAACAGTGGAAGAACGGATTTTGTGAAGCACCGGATTAATACTGGTCATGCTCAGCCGATTCGACAACGTCCTAGAAGGGTGCCCCTTTCCAAACAACAAGAAATGGAGACAATGGTAGATAAGATGCTAGAAGATGGAGTTATCGAAGAATCATCGAGTCCATGGTCATCTCCTGTTGTTTTGGTAACGAAGAAAGATGGTAGTACACGATTCTGCGTGGATTATAGGAAGCTCAATGACGTCACTAAGAAAGATAGCTACCCACTGCCACGTATAGATGACACATTAACAACTCTCGCAGGTTCGTGCTGGTTCTCCACTCTCGACTTAAAGAGTGGATACTGGCAAGTTGGTCTGGACGAGGAAGACAAAGAAAAGACGGCTTTTTTTCTACAGGAAACGGACTATACCAATTCAAGGTCATGCCGTTTGGATTATGCAATGCTCCAGCCACTTTCGAACGTCTCATGGAGGTGGTGTTAAGAGGATTAACTTGGAAAACGTGCTTGGTTTACCTCGACGATGTATTGGTTATGGGAAGAACTTTTGAGGAGCATTTGCGAAATTTAGAAGAAGTCTTCGGCCGCATAAGGAATGCGCACCTGTACTTGAACCCGAAGAAGTGTAGCTTATTCCAGCGACAAGTGGAATTCTTGGGTCATGTAGTTTCGGCAGACGGAATTTACACCGACCAGAAGAAAATCGCTGCGATCAAGGATTGGCCTAAACCTCGCGACAAACATGAACTTAGAAGTTTTCTGGGTTTATGCACCTATTACAGAAGATTTGTCAAGGGATTTGCCAATATAGCTGCACCCTTACATAGACTTACAGGTGATGAAGTCGGCTACGAATGGAACACCGATTGTGATGTAGCCTTTGGAAGACTTAAGGCGGCTTTATGTTCAAGTCCTATTCTAGCCTACCCGCAACAACAAGGGAGGTATATCCTGGATACCGACGCCAGCAATATCGGCATAGGTGCAGTGCTATCACAAGTGCAAGATGGCGAAGAACGAGTGATAGAATATTACAGTCGAGTTCTATCCAAACCAGAAAGGAATTACTGCGTTACCCGGAAGGAGCTGCTAGCAATTGTGAAGGCAGTTGATCATTTTCATAAATATCTGTACGGCCAAGAATTTTTAATTAGGACAGATCATGCGGCTCTCAAGTGGCTTATGGAGATGAAACAACCTGAAGGTCAAATAGCACGATGGCTCGAGAAGCTCCAACAGTATCACTTTACCATCCAACATCGTGCTGGAAAAATGCATGGTAACGCAGACGGTTTATCCAGAAGACCCTGTCAAACCGATTGTAAGCACTGCTGTAAAAGGGAACAACGTGAAGACACTGTCATGATAAGGAGTTTTAAACTTGGAACCGATGAACAGTGGACGACGGCACAATTGAGGAAAGATCAAATGGAAGATCCAGACATCGGAGCAATACTACGGCTCAAGGAAGGTAACGGCGAGAGACCACCGTGGCAGGATATTGCGGACAGAGGGCTGGTTTTCAAAGCTCTCTGGGCTCAGTGGAATTCACGGGTGATTGAGAATGGATTGTTAAAGCGCACGTGGGAAAGTGCAGATGGCAGGACAGTAACAACTCAGTTACTGGTACCAAGGAAGAAAGTTACCCAGGTATTGGAAGAAATTCACGGTGGTAAAACTGGAGCCCATCTTGGAGTAAACAAGACCTTGAGCAAGCTGAGAGATCGTTTTTACTGGGTGGATTATTGCGAAGATGTCAAGAAATGGTGTCGACATGTAAAACTTGTGCAGCCAGCCAAGGACCAAGCACTCGCTCTAGGGGAAAAATGAAACAATATAACGTTGGACTGCCATTCGAAAGAATCGCTGTTGACATTGCAGGCCCATTCCCTGAAACGCACAAGGGCAACAAGTACGTTTTAGTAGCGATGGATTATTTCAGTAAATGGCCAGAAGTTTTTGCCATTCCAAACCAAGAAGCATCGACTGTAGCTGAAGTATTGGTCAATAATGTCTTCAGTAGATTTGGAATTCCCTTAGAGCTTCACACTGACCAAGGAAGGAACTTCGAGTCAAGACTGTTCCAGAAGATGTGTGATCTGCTTGGTATTCACAAGACTAGGAC